CCCGCATGGCTCACCACCCAGGGGCTACTGAATGTGTTCCAGGTCTTTACTCTGTCTCCAAACCTGGAGAAGCAGAAGTCTGAGTACTCCTTGAAGGCTTCAACAATGGAAGCATTGGTCCATCCACCATGGTCCTGCAGTGCCTGGGGCAGATCCCAGTGGTAAAGAGTGACAACAGGGTGTATGTCAGACTCTGTGAGAGCATTGATCAGCTTATCATAGTAAAGAGCCCCTTTCTCTGACTGGCTGCTCCGGTGGCCTGAGGGGAAAATACGAGCCCAGGAAATGGAAAACTGGTAGGTGTTGACCTGAAGACCTCGTAGGAGGTAGACATCATAATCCACCTTGTGGTAACTGTCACAGGCTAGATCAGCTGTCTGATTGGCAAAGGCTAGACCATCATGACCAAAACGGTCCCAGATGGTCTGTCCCTTCCCATCTTCCAACCAGCCTCCCTCAACCTTGAAGGACTCACTGGATGTGGCCCATTGGAAGCCAACAGGAAAGGATTCATTCAGGAAGGCATCTCGCTGAGATGAGGTCATGGTGGCAAAATTGCTCCAAGTTTTGCAATAGGTCATTGAACATGATGACGTTTGAAGACTGAAGATAAAAGGAACAAAATGCTGAAAATAAAATTAGATGGCAAAACTTGAGGAGAAATTCAACAAATATGTCTTGGTATAGACTAATATTGGTGCAAACAGTTTACAGGTGGAATCAAGGTGCCAAAATATAATTTTGTTCTCACACATGCTGTATTTGGTACAGTGATTCCCAAAGTTATAATCCCCTAATTTCCTCAATATTTTTAAGTGCCCTCTACTTCCATTATATGCACACACAAACACACACACAAACACACACAGAGTCTTGTTTCAGTCTTCGCCTTACCCCCTCTGTGGTAATTTATTTGTGTGTGTTTTCTGGTTCATAAATACTACAAGTGATGCCATATAATCAGAAATGGACATACACAAGAAGTGGGTCATGATATATTGTTAATTAAATTCTTCATTGTCTGTATGCACTACAATACCTGTCTGGGATAGTGTCAGCTGGACGTAACATATCTACCAGGTCAAATCCAAAAACATTTTGGTCTCCACTGCTCAGTGCTGTAAATGTATAAGAATATAAGATGTATGTCATGGATCATGTAATGTATGTATGAATCATTCAATTAAATCGTTGAATCATTGATGCCATTTGTCCTTACATTACATAATTAGGCTAAGTGCAGTCAAGCAAAGGTATTGATCTGAAATAGTATTTCACTTCTCTAATGTTGTCAGTCTTTATTGATAATATAGATTACCTTTCACAATGTTGGTGTCTGACAGAAATTTATAAGGAGAACAGTCAATGATGTTCACCTAATAAAAGAGTACGGGGTTGTCTCCACACTTTCCCTACAAGAAAACACTGATGTTCAAAACAAGTGCATGTAACAGAATTCCCAGAATAAGACAGTCAGGGCTTATCCACACAGCCAAAGGCCATTTCCACATACCAAAACATTTTGCAGCTCTTCAGCCAGGTTCTGTCCAGTGGTGCAGTCATATTGAATTTTAATAAAGAGGAAATCTGTATATTTCTGAAATAGAGATGTGTGTGAGAAGTGTGTGAGTGTAGCTGGATATAGAAGGTATATTACTTTTCAAACAAAATTAAATAAACACATTTTTCATACTAACATTTGCTATATTGCTGGAGAACACAATCCTTAAATTTATTCTTTAAATAATGTGCTCGACTATATGATCTCACCAGTAGTTGAGTGTCACAGATGATTGGGACTTTATTTGCCTTTACCCCAACTGATATTCCTCCATCTGTAACACATAACTTGTTATTTCACAACCACATTCTCTTTTCCCCTGCATAACGCCATTCTCTTATCATGAACATTGGCACAAGTGTTATATGGACAGATATGGAAACCATTATCAAGCACTGCCATAATTATTGCACATCTAATGTTCTGGAGGCACATATAATGCACTCTGTTTCTCCTTTGGGGACAATAAAATCAATCAATCAATCAATTCAAAGTTCCAAAAATATACTGGAGTAACCAGAGAGTATATCCTGTACATCATATAGAGTGGAGTGTTTTTTTCTTTAATTCAGGCTACTTAATGGGGAAATTTAAGGGTAAAATAGGTGTACAAGAGGTAAAACATTGATTGACAAATTGAGCATAGCGTTGAGCTCGGCTCTCAATTCCACCTATATCATATGATCACAGCTAGTCCTAAACACATATCAGCTGATGGCTCAGCTGATTCCCTCAAGCATCCAATTGGCAAATATCATTCATGGCACCTTATTTAAGCTGCTTTAGCCTGCCTATCTTTGCTGCTTCCTCTACAAGCCGTTTTGCAACCCACCTCCACCCCAGCTCCTCCTTT